TATGAACTGTTGGCCAGCCATGGCCAAAAATAAACCCAAAACAGAAGAAATGAGCCAAGCCAACCATCTCATTGCAGCTGGGATCATGGAGAGAACGGCTCCGTGGTCTGACATGCAACAGGGATGAATGGAGTCGGTCACATAGCGGGTGGTGGAGGCCCAGAGAGACCTTTTTAGTGGGTTGCTGATTACCCAGCGGGCTCTCGAGGGTCGCATGGCCAGTGAGGTTATGCAAAAAGTGATCATGAATTTGAGGGTCCTTGGCTGAGACACTTCCTTACATTCTCTCTGTTTATCTCCAGCTGCGCCTCCCTCTTAGATTCTCTGAGCCACAAACGACGATGTTTTGCCGGCCTAATTAGGAGTAATGTGGCATGAATAGGGCTTATGGTAATATAGGGATGGGGCATCTGGACATAGAGCCCCGGGGCCACCATCCTTTGCACCGGCCATCAGAGCTGGCCAGGCATGGAGTTGTGTTAGTGTTATAGGGCAGCTAGGTGTGGTGATGCCAAGCATTGCTATGTCTCACTTTTAGGTTTCTGGGTCCTGTGGCGTATGCACACCCTGACTTCTGCACCTAAGCCCTCCATACAGTGTCTGGGTGGAGAGAGTGTAGCTCGAGGGGAGTTTGCAGCACCCTGCACATCATTGATTGGGAAGGTGCAGGCCTCTTACAGTAGCCCACGAGGGGTTGGTGAAGAGAGGTGAAGAGGGTTTAGGAACCTGATTCTGGGCTGTAGGGAGGTGCCAGAGTTGGATTGGGCCCACAACCGGATTGAGCACCCATGTCATCTCTTTTAAAAGGGGAGCAGGGCTCTGCCTTTCATTTAGGTTATGGAAGATGTCGAGGAGATGATGGGAACCCACTTCTGTACGGTAGCACGGTGATTTAAAGCATTTGTCCAGACTAGAGGTCTGGGTTCAAAATCCTCCTCTGTGTGAGGGGATCCAAGCCTACCTCTGCATGTCTGAGCCACTGAGCTGCCGGCTGTTCTGCGCAGGCACACTTGGCTCCTGTGCTTGAAGTGAAGCCACTTTACAAAGAAATTCAAGCAGGAGGAAGCAGGTCAGAGCACGATCCTCTCTTGTAGCGTGTTGCAAGAGAGGCGAGACCCGGGGTCTTATACCTGCATTAAGGATGGTGCAGGGTTTCTATCCAGTGGCATCTGAGCATGCTGAAAATCTTGACTGTCGAGAGCTGAAGTGGAGATATCATTGCATCCTGCTGTGTGAGCTTCTCTGCAGAAAGTCAGCACTCGCTCGGCTCTGTGCCGACTGAGCCGCTTTCACTCAGAGCTGCATAATTGACGTGTCGTGCTCCGTGAAAGGTGCCGTTTCCAATCCAGCAAGGCCTAAATTATTTCATATCTGAACCAACCCCAAAGCCTCTTCTCTTTTGAAGCTTAAATAGGCAGCCTGAAATATAGACTTGGCAGTGACAGCTGACAGCAGCTTATTAATCACATTTTTCTACCTCAGCCCACACCGATGAGAAGCAGTTGACCTGTCAGATTGTACTGAGCACCTGCTTTAATTCTGAAGAAGTGGGAAAGCATGCAGAATAAGCTAACCGTGGAAGAAGTGACTGTGTCAGAGCAATGGACAGACCTTGGCATTAGCATTGTAAAATTGCAGTGAAAAATATACCAGCCTCAGCGCGTCTTCTTTGCCCCTTAACTTGGTTTATTCACTGCACTTCCACAACCAACAAAACTGTCCATTCCTGTAAACCTCACTTTGCCCACAATGCCAGGGTGAGTAGGGTTTTGCAAGGAATCATGACACAACGTCTCCTTTCCCATGCGGGTCAGTGAATGCCACATTGCACTCATGACTTGGGTGAGGCGGGGTGCGTAATGAAAAGGGCTTATTCTTATGCCTCTCTTACAGAGGAAGAACATGATGCTCGAGCGCCCTGGGCGCGGTGCGCGTGGACGGGGCAGCGTCACTGGCTTTGCTGATGGCTGCACAGTAGCAGCCAGTCTGGCAGTGCAACTGCTTCTGTTTTTCCTGCCCCCCCATCCCAGGGCTGGTGCCCCAGTTGCCTCCGCACCCCCAACTCATCATGCTGCTGGTGTGTTACCTAAGAGAAAATCTTATTATTTACCTACTGAACCGAGAACACAGGGGTTTTGCTACAGCTTCCCATGCAAGCAGGTCCAGGGAGGGCAAGACCATCTTCCATTTCCTTTATGGCCATGAGTAGAGGGTTTGTCCCAAACTCCCTTTTTTGGCAACATGGAATCAAGGGATGGTGAAGAATGAGAACCACTGGCCTGAACTAAAAGGAGTTTTAGTTTGCTGCACCCCAAGTCATTTAAGGCGCATTACGCTGCCAAATTTCTTACAGCGGCTGGAATTAATGCGCAATACACCACCGAGGCGTACAAACACCAACACCATTAAAGTGGTGAAAAAGCATTTAGCCCACTTTAAAGTGTTGTGCATGCACACCTCTTGTTTCATCTACACATGACCTATTTCTTTGGTTCCCAGGGGCATGGTCCAGGAAAGACGGCTCTTTCTGCATGTTAGTCCTTCAGAGGAGGCTCATTGGGGTGTTTGTAGAGTAGAGCGGATGGTCTTCTCAAACACTGATGTCCGAGGGAGCAGAACAGGTCTATGGAGCAGGGGACCAGCTGGCTGGCCCAACAAGACACTGGAGTGAAGTTGCCCAAGAAGATGGTGTCTGAGTGGGAACAGGAGGAGGAGCTGGGGGGTGGGTGGAGGAAAGGACTCCAGAGATTTAATTTGGAAATCATGCCAAGCCTAGCTTTGACAGAGGTCCAAAACCTCCCATCGCGGAGCACAAATCCATTTAAATGGAAATTGCTCTGTCACAGCTTAGCTAGAAAAAGAGCAAACTGCAGTAGGAGATGCTGACACCACTAGGTCTCCGTGGGTGAGAAAAGCCGGAGAATGAGCAGGTGGAAGCTAATGCAGTTTAAAACTCAGCAGTTCTGCTGCTGACAGGGGGGAGGAAACTAGAGATGCGGCTGTAGGTGCAAGTTTAGAAAATAAGTAAAGAACCTGCTCTGCACTGTGGCTATCCAGCCTGTGGGATCTCCTCTCTACCAGGTCAATGAGACATATGACATGCCAGGAAAAGGGCTTGTTACGTTCCCCAAAGCTGTATGATTACAGCTAGTATCTGTTGCTGAGCTGAACCTGATACAAGGAGACTTGACCTACGTCTTCTAGGATATAAAATGATTGTAAAGGCATGAAGTTACCCCGGAGCATTGTCCCATTGGCTAGATGTGCTATGAATGGTTTTTGGCTTCTTCTGGACAGCTTGGCATTACCCATTGTCCCACTGGGCAGACCAGTGCTCCTATCTCATGAGGTGTTGCCATTAATCCATCTTGCACATTCATTATTTTCTTCTTTGGCAGTTCCTCACAATTGAGGATGATTGTCTTCCATGACTGTCTCATCTGTGTGGGTCGAAAGATAGCCGATGAGGCTGATCTGGGCTCAACAGACTGCTCCAGCTTGGGTGCATGTTTCCGTGCGGGGTGGGTGGCTCTAGATTCTTGATTCAGTATTCGTTATTGAACCTGCCTGGAAGACAGCAAGGGCCAAAGTGTCTTCCAAGCATAAATCCAGAGCACCCACTTGGACTTCAGTTGGGTTGCTATGAATACACAGTGGGGTGAATGACACAAGCCTGTTACTTAAACTGTGATTTGTTTAATAGCTGCACGAGGTGATGTGATAGGTGGTGAACAGACAACGGTGTAACAACTCAGGAATGCATTTTGCTAGCATTTCTATGAATTTACCATGAGGAGTTTAAGGACTTGGTTATCCAGTGTCTTTTGACTCTTGGCTGCTCTGCTAAAGACACCCAGCACATATGTTTCTCTATTACAGCCCCTGAGACAACTCTCCCCAGGCTGTTGGGACCTGTATCTCATGCTTCATAGCTCTTGGTTTGCTGGATCTGGTCACTTTAGGCACTGATCTCTGTCAGGGGTTTTCAGTCACTCTCCAGGCACAGGCCCAATGTCTGACACCATTGTGACAATGGGAATCCCACGTCTAATTGTCTGGGCCCATGAAACTAATGCCAGCTCTCCCAAGATGTTTTATGAGGCCCCAGACCTTCCCTGAAGGCTTGATGGACTGTTTCTCCTGTGAGGGCTACAGAGCGGTGAAAGCAAGCAATGTGCAAAGGATAATATGAACAGCTGCATCAGAATTACAGGTCTATGGGGAAAAAACAAGGACTGCATGTCCTTAGTTTCATCACCTCCTCATAAGCCCTTTGGGATTTGGCCAGAGCCAGCTCAGAGGATCCTAGATCCCTTCTGCTCACATCTTTGTGTGCTGGTCCTGCAGTCCCCTTTCCCTGGTGATCTGATTAATTATAAGACTGCACAGGTGAGGTGGTAGATGGCTTGCATGTCAAGGGGGCTTCCATTTGAGTGGCAGACTATCAAGGGCAGGGGCTGGCAACCCCCAGCACGCGTGCCAGAGCATGGCACTTGAAGCCATTTTGCTTGGCATGCCACAGCGGCTCTGGGCAGGCCCCTGCTGCCAGCCACAGAGCCCAGGTGGGTTGCAGCAGGCAGCGGGGAGGCTGCAAGCAGCTGCACCGGGGTCCGTGGCGCCCCAAGCCAGCTCGTTGCCAGTGGTGGGTGCATGTGCCTCTGGGAACTGGCTGGGGCAGCACTGCCACAACAAGGATCGGGCCCCTTGTGGCTCCTCTGCCATCCACCCTGGCACGCCAACATATTACAGATTGAGGTTGGGACTCTTTCCAAAAACATTGCTGCCCCCTGATCTAGGTCAGTGACTCTCATTCACTCTCTGTTGTTTGCTCTTTGCTGGATGCAGGTGATGCTTCTTGGGGCTTTCAGCTCAAGATGGAGGTTACCAGAGACAAAGTGAAGACTCAGGACCATTTTTACAATCAAGATTAAGTTTACAGTTGATTAGAGTTGTACCAAGGTGCACTAATCATCATCGTCTCTCTTATCTCCTTGTTGTAGGCAACATCTTTGTCGTCAGTCTGTCAGTCGCAGATCTAGTCGTAGCGGTGTATCCGTACCCTCTCATCCTGAGTGCTATTTTCCACAATGGCTGGACAATGGGAAACATTCACTGCCAGATCAGCGGGTTCCTCATGGGTTTAAGTGTCATTGGGTCCATTTTTAACATCACAGCCATCGCAATCAACCGATACTGCTACATCTGCCACAGCCTCCGGTATGACAGGCTATTCAACCTGAAGAACACCTGCTGCTACCTTTGCCTGACATGGATGCTGACGGTGGTGGCGATTGTGCCCAACTTTTTTGTTGGCTCACTCCGGTACGATCCCCGCATCTACTCCTGCACGTTTGCCCAGACTGTCAGCACGTCTTACACTATCAGCGTGGTGGTTGTTCACTTCATCGTCCCTCTGTCCGTTGTGACGTTCTGCTACCTGCGGATTTGGATTCTGGTGATTCAGGTCAAGCAGCGGGTGAGACCTGACTGCAAGCAGAAGCTGCGGGCCGGGGACATGAGGAATTTCTTGACCATGTTTGTGGTTTTTGTCCTTTTTGCAGTGTGCTGGGGGCCGTTAAACTTTATTGGCCTGGCGGTCTCTATTAACCCGTCGAAAGTAGCGCCACAAATTCCGGAATGGCTTTTTGTCTTGAGCTACTTTATGGCCTATTTTAACAGCTGTCTCAATGCCATGATATACGGGCTTCTCAATCAGAACTTCCGAAAGGAGTACAAAAGAATCCTACTGACTCTGTGGACCCCGAGGCTGTTTTTTGTCGACTTGTCGAAAGTTGGGACGGAGGGGATGAAAAGCAAGCCCTCTCCAGCAGCAACAAACAACAACCGAGCTGAAATGCACTTGTGAATCGGGGAGGATGCTGCTGTTTCTTGTGCTTCGGTTTTGCAGAGAATATATAAAAGCTTTTCTAGGTACAGAGTTCACAGGGGTTGGTACTGCCCACTCTCATTCCTGCAAGAAATATAATTCTCTCTCGTCATCCTCTACTCATCACCATGGTGTCTGAGCACCTTGCTGACAAAAGCAGTCCCACAGAAGCTGAGGCTTTGAGTAAGGATTTTCAGGATGAACCCATTGACCTTTTTCCTATGCCATTTTTCACTATGTGCCTAATTGGTTTTGATGCACTTGACATGCTCATGCTAACAAGCTCTGCCAAGGGAAGCATGCGTAGTGCATGTAGATGCTGTTGTACTTGAAATGCAAACTGCGAGACAAGGCACTTTAAATCTCCTGTATTTTAAATCCCCCTCTCCACCCAGTCTCTTCCTCCTAGCATTACTTAACCCAGCCCATACTGTACAAACTGAAAACTAGCTCTATACCTTTCTAGGCCCCATAATACAGATATGAAGACTTCTACTGTCTGGTGGTTTGTTTATTTATTTATTTTTTAAGTTTAGCAATTATCCAAGAATTGATGGCAGGTAAAAACCAGACCCAACGAATGTCCAGTGAACTGTTTATAATTGAATCTTTCTAGACCATAAGTAAAAATGAAACGCGCAACGTAACTACAGAAAGAGATTTGGCACCGGATTCTAATTCAGGCAGGTTTCTCTTATGGCCAGACCTCCAAATGTCTTTTAGAGTCTGTTTCACAACCATGCTGTGAAGAGACAAGATAGCAGGGCTGCAGGGTTGTTGGTTGTAGCCGTGTTGGTCTAAGGACAAAGGCAGGCAAGGTTCTTTGGGTAGATGCGGTATCTTTTATTAGACCAATTTAACAGTAGGAAAAAAGCTCTTTGCAAACTTTCAGGCACAAACACCCTTCATCAGGCACAGGGAGACTCTGCTGCTGTTATGTGTTCTCCAAGGTAGAAAAGAAGCTAATTTCCAACAAGCAGGTCTGTGAAAATGCAAATGAGTGGAAATTAGGAAGAGAATATGGGGGTGGGAAGGGAGGGAGGGAAATGTTTGAAGGAATGCAGGTGCTCAGCTGGAGGCAGGTTGTAATGGGTCATAAATCCAATGTCTATATAAAGTCCATGATAATATATATAATATAGTATAGACAATATAATATAGACATTGGATTTATGATGATAACATATATATATCAAAATATAGTATAGACAATAGAATACAATATAGACATTAGATTTATGACCCATTACAACCTGCCCGATATCTGATACCCAGGTAACCTGCCTCTAGCTGACCACTTGCATTCCTTCACACATTTCCCTCCCCCACCCCATCTTTACCCCTTGTCTTCCTAACTTCTTCTCATTTGCATTTTCACAGATCTGCTTGTTGTAAATTAGCTTCTTTTCTACCTTGAAGACACATAGCAACAGAGTCTCCCTGTGCCCGATGAAGGGTGTTTGCGCCCGAAAGCTTGCAAAGAACGTTTTTTTCCAGCTATTAAATTCGGCATAATAAAAGATACTGCATCTGCCCGAAGAAGCTTGCCAAGATAGCAGGGCAGCATCCATTTAAATTCAGATTTACACTTTCACTCAATAAATAGATACAAGGCAGTGCAGCATGGCACTGTAGGCCATGTCCCCACGAGCAGGGGTGTGCAGTTGCCTTGGGGCAAAAAGC